ACGAACTCGTTTATCAGCGATCGCGTTGCGTTTATTTTAACTGAATTTTTTATTCTTATCCTTCAATATTAAGATTTTTTATAAATTTCAATTTAACATTTTGAACAATAAATAATATCATTTTAATATCAATTCATTCGTCAAATGATAAAATCTAACATGCATACATATATGAAACACTATATAGAAAAAGACAACCATAAGTACCGACAAAAAAAAAAGTGAACCACAAAATATGTACCCAAAACCATCAAAAATAAATATCTGTAAATCCAATACAAAAAAAAAAATATGTCCACAAAATCACAGAATACAAAAACAAACTAACTAGGAGTAAATGGTTTCCTAGCCTTGCGGGTTCGGGACCCTCTCCGAGGCCCCGGTTGCAAAGAAGACGATCCTGCGGTCGGTCCAGGCGTGGTTGGTTCTTCTTCTTCTTGTCCATCTAATTAATTAATTTTTGTAAAAAATCAATAATTCGACCGGACAAATAAACAAAAAGAAACAAAAAAAATATATATATTTGTAGTTAAAAAAAAAAAATCTCACCTTCTTCGTGGTCACGGCGTCTTCTCCCTCCACCAATGTGGGGCGCCGGTCTATGCCTCGCCCGCTGAGAATGTGTATGCTGGGGTGGGGCGTACTCATCTTGAGATAGAATTTGCTCCGACGACGCCCCTTGTGTGACCGACTGACCCCCAACAGTCAGAGAAGCGTACAGAAGTTCCTGGGCTTGCTGGAACTGTGACTGCGCTCGGGGAGGTAGCGTATCAATGTCTTCAATGTTCGTTAGCATGTTACACGCCACCTCCGTACCCGAAAACTGCAAAATTAAATTCAAATAACTATCAAATATTAAAAATAATAATAATAATAATAATTACTTCATTGAAGACAGTTACCTGACACTTCTCCCGGTCGGCATATGGCTGAAACCCGCCGTCCTGTGAGATCGCCGCGTAGTTGTTGGGGTCATTGAATAGTCTCACAGTCCTACTGTGAAACCAATCAATGTACCCATCTGTCGGCTGCAGGAAGGGATCCACCGGGACATCTTGGAGGGCGTTCTGATCTCTCTCTTCGGTCCAGATCCTCCCAAGATCAGCATGGAAGGCCTGCCAATCGGTGTATGCCCTCCCAGTCATGCCCTGGCCCTTGTGGCGGGTGTCCCAGTCGGCCAGACTAGTAATGAGCGGCTGTTGGGGGATGGGCTGGTGGCACCGAAACTGGCGGAGCACCCTATCAGTCTCGTGGGGTTCTGCGATGTTCCAGCACAAGATCCACCCCTTGTACATCCAGAGATGTCGGTCTTGTGTGCACACTTCCGGGAGCCGACCCTCGTCTATGTACGTCTGATAGGGTACTCAATCGAACTGTGAAATAAAACATTTATAGAATTATTAATAAATTTAATAAAAAAATAGAATTAAAAAAATAATAATTATTTATTATTATGACCTAAGAAACTTACATCAGTCTCTCTCAGGCCACTCAGCTGATCTCGGATGGCAGCCGTGCCTGTCACCAGGTGTCTCATGTCCCTCAATCCCACCCACCTTAAAAATCACAGAAAAAGTTTTATTTGTAATTACAAATTTTGATAATTGAAATAACTTAAGTGTTGAATATAAATAAATGTTATTATTACCTTGCACCCAAGGGACAACCCGCCTGAGAGCCGAAATGTGTTCTTGTCATTAATGGGCGAACACGAGGGATGCGTTCCCATGCTCAAACCTGCACATATGGACATATACATTTTTTAGCACATATTATTGTAATTTACAATAAATAAAATTAATTTTCAATTAACAAGTAAATAAATTTACCTGAATCAACTGCACGCAGCTCTTGATATATTTTTCCCGCGTCTCGTAGGTGTCGCAGAGCGCTCTATATACCCCGGCCAGAAGCGCTCCACCCCAGCTGTACCCCGGAATGGCATCGATGTCATTCAACAGGGACAACCAGTAGAGGTTGACTCCGTTGGCCCGATGGTCGGGGAAGAAGAAGGACCCAATACACCAGAGTATCAGAGCTCGCGCCCTCTTCTTGTACTCTGATGTAGGGAGTCCATCCTCCAGAGGGCGCTTGCACTCCTCTTCCAGACTACTAAAATACAGGCACTGGCCATTTATGTCCCAAGTCTTGGAGTCGTAGTCCTGGACCCCATCATCCTTGAAATACGTTTATATATATATTAAAAGCGACCCATGACTTAAGTATATAAACATAATAATAATAAAAAAATTAAAATAAACAAATAAAAGTTTTAGGTAAAAATATACCTGTACGTATGGGAGGTACCCTAGAGCGTCCAGGCAACGACCTCTCCACTCTTGGGGAGTCCGATGTACGGTCTGTCCCCAGCACGCCTCCCCGCTGACGGGGAGGCCAAAGAGTATCTGAACATCCTGGAGAGTGATCGTGTCCTCCCCGAAGTCGAAGTGGAAGGTGTGCGTCTCCGGACGCCACCTCTCCAGAAGGCATGTAATGAGAGGATTGTTTGTCGGGACCCGCCCCATCCGAAATAAAGGCCCGAATCCGGCCTTGTCGATCGCCTCCCATGTCCGGGCATGCTGCTTGTTGTCCTCCAAGGCAGCCCAGAACTGGGTGTCCGAACGGCGTGGCTTAACCACGCCGTGGCGAAACCCCGGTGCGTCCTCATATACCGCCTTGGATCGGTGGCGGTTCTGAAGATATAGAAGTGACGGATCACTGGGGCCGGGGTGTGGGGGTGTAGGGTTGAGGGTTCGAGGATGACAAAGCCATTTTCTGAAAAAATGACCGAGATTGTACCAATTGTTAATTTTGAAATGACCGAGATTGATATATTATTTAATAAATATTATTCATTTTTTGTGTATCTAATTACGCAGATCGTGTAATTTCGATTGATTTATTCAATTATAATTTCTTATCAAATTATTATAAAATGGCAGTTTCTATTTAATTATTTTTAATAACTATTTTTGGGTAAATTCATAAATACTATCTTTATATTTTTTTAATACTATGGTCGATTCTTCTTTTTAATGAATATTTGTAATTTATACATATTAATGAATATTTTTCTTACACGTGCATCGCACGGGATTCGTTAAATTTAATTAATTACTCATCTTGAATTTATAGTTGAAGATTTTGATTTGAGTTGAGGGAGATTTTGACGATAGAAAAATCACGACATTGTTTTATAAAGAAGTGTTTAAGAATATTTATATTTTTTTTCTTAATTTTTTTCAATGAAAAACCACGACTAGTATATACATATTGTACAACAGATTGTACAAAAACCTTGAACACGCCCGGCAAGACGTGTTCTACCCACCACAACAATATATATAATACGCCAACGGCAATTGACGTACACAAATTGTTCACCGATTCAATTAATACAACATCCGATCATCTCAATTTTCAAATAACTAATTCGAACCCTATAGTCAACCAAATAAACGGCAATCAC